ATGGGAGTTGTAGTCCAAAAACAGCTGGAGGCCCAAGGTTGGGGAACACTGGTCTAAACCACAGAGCATAGGGCTTGCTGATCAGAAGGTCGGCGGTTTGAATCCCTGCGATGGGGTGAGCTCCCGTTGTTCATTCCCAGCTCCTGCCCACCTAGCAGTTTGAAAGCACGTCAAGTCCAAGTAGATAAGTAGGTACCGCTCTGGCAGGAGGGTAAACGGCATTTCCGTGCACTGCTCTGGTTTGCCAGAAGCGGCTTAGTCATGCTGGCCACATGACCTGGAAGCTGTCTGTGGACAAATGCTGGCTCCCTCGGCCTATAGAGCGCCACAACCCCAGAGTCGTCCGTGATTGGACCTAATGGTCAGGGGTACTTTTACCTTTACCTTACACCAGTTCCTAGTCTTTTTCCTTGACCTCAATGGAACTCAAAACTGTTTAACTGCTTAGATCATGCCCACCTAATAAATGATGGACTAAAGGAAGATTATGAAGTTGTTATAATGATACTAGCATAGCACTTGGAATATTTAAAGAGCTTCACATACATTATCTTAATAATTATTGTTACAAGGTAGCCTCTGCAAGGTAGGCCTATATTATCCCCATATTGCGGATGGAAGGGGTAGATAGGGTCTGAGAGATAGTGGCTTTCCTATCACTGTCTAATGCCCACATAATAAAGAAGGATTCCAGACTCACAGCTCACACTTTTACCACCTACACCACCTTTCAACAACTGATTCTACCTGCAGTGACCACCAGCATGTAATTACACCCATTCACATCATCAGACACACTTGACACCTTTTACAAAGGCAAATGGCTTTAATCCGAATCTGAAAGTGATCTAGCAGCAGTATAATTTTAGCCCTTGATTCCTTGGAAGCGCTCACATATCTGCATAACAGATGGATGGTCAAACAGGAGCTGGCAACTTTTCTTCAAATACTTACATTTGGTGAGAGGAAGGCTTAATTGAGAGAGAAAAAGGAAATGGTTATTGCAGGGTGGACAGAATGTTCTGACTAGCTGAGATGCTTAGCAGCACAAACGAGTATCCAGAATGAACTGCAGAGATTTGCATCATTTGTGCTTTATGCCTCTGATGGCACCCTACCTGTACCCCAGTGTTTCCTGAAGGTGTGCCGCACAAGCGCCGGATGTATGTCACGCAAAAAATAATACTCTTCGTATTTGAATCATCTTTATAGGTTACTGCACATTGTAATGTAAGTGGATTCTATGCCCATAAGGTGTCTCAATACATGCCAGGAAAATCCTGTGCAGCGTGGAGGCTACAGTCTGCCCATATATGGGCTGAAACATCATCCCATATGATTATGCTAGGATTCTTCACGTTCAGCCCAGCCCCAGCCCAAGTAACTGGAAAATCCCAGAAGCAGGGGTGTTGCTAGGTACCATAAAGTTCCTATGGCACACATTTGCATATGCTAGTTCTATGAATAGATGCCTCTTGGTCACTTAAAACGGCTGGAGGATGGGGTTGTGCCAACAGTACACTTAGTGGTGTGCCCAATCGCCTTATAAGGCAGCCTTTGCCAAAATGGGGAGGCCAAGGTTGGCAAAAGCTGCAGTAACCAAAGTTAACTATATTTAAAAATAAGTGTAAGTCGAGGGAAGGCAGCAGGGAAGATGGGTCTTAGCAAAAGAAATATGACCAGTGCTGTTTTTCTAGAAAAAGAGGTGCCGGAACTCACCATGAATGCCTCCATTGTTCCCTTATAATGGCAATGGTGCCCACCTGAGATGTGCCGGAACTGAGTTCTGGTGAGTTCCAGCTGAGAAAAAGTTCTGGATATGAGAATATGCAGGTTAGCAAACACCACCCCTTTCCCCCTCCCTCATGTTGAGTCAACACCTGGAGGGAAGGTGAGAACAGGTCTATAGTGCAGTGTTTCCCAACCTTTTTTGGGCAAAGGCACACTTGTTTGATGAAAAAAATCTCGAGGCACACCACCATTACAGCCCCGTGACGTCAGCGCGCAGCGTCATGCCGGGAGGGACGCACGAAAGTGCAAGTTTCAATTTTTTTCCCTCCCCCTTGCCGGGGAACCTCCAAGCTTTGGGGGGGGGGGAGGAGGCAGCAAAGCGAGGGACTGAGGGACTCCTCCAACTCCTCCTCCTGCTCGTCCATGGCCGGGTAGAGCCGCTTGAGGCGCCGCTTGAGCTCCTTCTCCTGCTCGTTCAGGGCCGGGTTGCCGCCGTGAGGGAAGGGCACCGGGGCGCTGCTGCTGCTGCTGCCGCCGCCGCTCCCGGCAGGCATGGGCCCAGCTGAGGCGGCAGCGGCTGTTGTGGTGGTGGCGGCGATAGCGGGCGGAGGAGGGGGCGGCGGCGGGGCCGAGGTGGCCGGCGGCGGCAGGGGAGGCGGCGGCGGGTGGAGCAGGAGGGCGGCCGAGGCCGGTGAGGGAGTAGGGTTGCCCGAGGCTTGAGGAGCCGTCGCCGGGAGTTGCTGCTGCTGTTGTTGCTGCTGCTGCCCGGACATGCCGGCCTCCTCCTCGTCCGCTGTCTCGCGCTCCTCCCTTTTGCGCGCGCTGCCCCGCCGCCGCCCCATTGGCCGGGTCCTGTCAGCTGATCCTGTGTTATTTCCTGTGTGTGTGTGTGAGGGGAGAATGGAGAGAGAAACCTCGGCACCACCACCGCGGAGCCGCCCCCGGCTCGACGCGGATCCTCGCCGCCGCCGCCCCGCCTCTCGCCGCCCGACTCGCCCGCCTCCCTCCCACGGCACACCAGGCAACGTCTCGCGGCACACTAGTGTGCCGCGGAACACCGGTTGGGAAACACTGCTATAGTGGGCATAAGAGTATGCTGCCCATTTTAATCCAGGAAAATGTACTCTGTTGTTGTTGTTGCTGAAAATGCTGTTGTACCCACCAGACATCCTGCCATTGAAAAGAAACTAATCTGCTTGCTTTTTTTTGCTCAAGGAAAAAAAGGTCCCATTATACATAAGAAAACATGGCACATATTTTTGTGTTGTCCATTTTTGAGACTTGTCCTCTCTGCATCCACAAGGACTCAATGGTTTGTTACATGCTTGAAGTCATTTGTGGAGATTGGCAGAAATGTCTTAAACAAAATAGGGTTTAAGAATATTACCCTGAATGACTGAGCTCATGTGGCACTATTCCAAAACTGAATTGACTGTTTTTAGCATCCAGCGTCATCATAAAAATTTGTGGGCACCACCCCACAATAGGTGCAGGAGATTACCCTATTTAGATTTGCAAATTATATTGCACTTGGGCCAAAGATGACTAAATTCTGAGGATGAATGTAAAGAAGTTAGGGACACAGTCTTCCTAACCAGCTAAAAAAATATGTATAAGATCACATTCTGATCTTCACGTTAACTAGTTGAGAAGAACAGCCGCACACATGCACGCATATCCGCTTTCATACTTACATTCGCCAGCGTGGATTAGGAAAAAATACCACGCTATGGGGAATAAATCAAGCCACCCTCAGGAGGAACCCGTGTGGGGGAAAAGGATAAACCCACTTTTCATCTTGACTGTGAGTATAATGGTGGCTAAAGGGTGTTAAGCAGCAAGTGATCATACTTAACTGATGCTAAGTATGTGATTTTGGAAAAGCACAGGAAACAAATTTGACTTTCTCTTTTAAATTTAAATACAACACAAAGTGCCTTAAAGTGAAGAAAAAGGAAAAAGGGTATATTCCATCACAATAACAATTGTTAACAGTTAACAATTACAAATGTTAACCTGCTGTATTTTGTATAAATGGGTTCCAAATTTCATTATACTTTCGCACAAACTTGATTTTCATGATTAAAACTTATTTCAGCATGACATTTTAAGAGTTGACATGTATTCTTCTTCGAATCAGATGAATTTGGCTGATGAACTTGGTTTTATCTGCTGGTGCTTATTCTGTTTTCTTTTGTAGTCTGTTTCTAAAGTTTATACTTAGTGGGCTGTGTTCAATGGTGGCTTTGCCTTCACAGAAAGCACTTCTACTTGTGCTATGTAGGCACCCAATTTTCACTGATACCTCTTACCTACTGATACCCGCTCCATGAAATGCTCCTCCTGAGGGCAGGGAGACCCACTGAAACAATATGCGATGTGGTGCAGAGGGCTTCAGTAGGCAGGAAGAATGAGCAAAAAGTCCTTGAGTGGAAGCACTTTGCAGTAAGACAAAGCCACCACTGGAAATGACCCAATATTTCTTCGTTTAACTTCGTTTAACACTTGTAGAGAGTGGGGAGCAGCAGTGATTTTGGGGTAGCATGACCAATTCAGCCGCATTGGGTGCCGGCGCCACAGGAGGTACCACAACAATGATGTAAAACAGAGAGCGAGAGGTGTGTGTGGGGGGGTGAATTTTAGTGTCACACAGGGTGCCGATGAAATTTGAGAGCCCAAAGTTTCCCTGTGGGAGGATTCTTAATATTTCTTAGAACCTACCCTTCCCCTCATGAGGAAAATAAAAATTGGTAAGGGGAGTATTGACGTTATAATTGTGCTGGATGTTCTGCCAACTTCCAAGTTTTGGGTTGTGGTGGCCTATAAACAATACAATTGGTATTGGTATTCTGAAGTGGTAAGGTGTGCCTGTAAAGAAAGGCAAAAATAATTAAAATAAAATATTTGGCATGATTCTGGAATTTGGGGAAGTAATAGCCTCTCCGATTCCCGGATAGGGATATGGAGTTCTCTATGTCTGTCTCCTCTGCCCCCTCATTAGGCTGGGGCGGAGGAGAATGTGAAAGACACCTCAGGATCCCTTGTCCCCACAGAAAATAATTGGAGGGTTGGCATGGCCTAGCCTCCTGCAGTTCTCAGAATTGTGCCTTTTATTTCATTATGTTTTGCATGTAGCTACAGACTGCTACAGGCCGAGGCGTTCTTCCTTTCCATCGTGTTTATACAAAAAAAAGAAGAAGGGGGGGGGGACCAAAACAACCCAGGGGTGGTTACTATGCCAACAAATTACGGGAACTGGGTCTATGATTCCTGAAGGAAAGAAGGCTGCAAGTCTTTAAGATGGCAGAGGGAGGACAACAAAATTGAGAAGCGTGCTCGTTTCGTGCTTTCACACTCCGTTCCCAGTCCTGCCGCCGCCTACACTGGAGCGAGGCGAGGGAGGCAGGACTGCGAGCGAAAGAGGGAGGAGAGGTCGGCTCCGAGGCCGCTGATTGGCGGAGGAGACTGGCTGCTGGAAACAGCGAGGTGCACTCCGTACTCAGAATCCATTTAAAAAGCTCGAGATACCGACTGCACTTCGCCCAGGCTTAGGAAGGGTAAATATTAGTCACAGGACCCGAAAGCTTAGCTGGTGGTTTAGGGCTTGCGGGGGAGAGGCTGAAACAGTAACTTTTATTGATATGCTGCTGGGGAGGAAATAATTCGGGATCCGTTCCGTATTGCTGTGAGGAACTTGCAGGTGCCTGGGGTTTTCCCTGCCTTCTCCACAGACAGGTAAGAGAGGACTGTGGTGCTTGCCCACCTCTAACTTTATTTTGCTTTTCTCCTGTTCTCTGGAAGTGTGTTGCAGCCGTTTAAAAGGCGAAGTGGGCTCACGGTGGCACGAGTCGTGGTTTGAGTGTGGCGATCAAGCTGCATCAGCCGGGTGCTTTTGCACCCAAACGCGTAGAGCTTTTTAAAAGTTCTGTTGCAATAGTGTGCTTGTGCTGCTGCTGCATCTACAGCGGAGATGGAGAAAAACTGAAAGCCCGAGGGCGCTCACTGGAAAGCAAGTCTTCGTGTGCTCAGTTAGCAGGGCTCGAGGGAAGGTGTGTTGTGCGGGTGCTGAATCTTTACAACAAATACAAGTTTTATTTAAAAAACAAGCCAACAAACCGGAAAGAGGTTTTAAAAGACTGAAGCAGACTTAGCTTGCAGTGGTGTATTCGGGTCCAGATACTTAATTTTGATCATGGATGCAGTTTGAAATCTTCCAAAGTTCGGAATTTATGGATATACGAGGAATATGGATTTGTATGTATGTCTGGGTGCCTGTGGCTACAATGCCATTACAATACAGTACAGTACTCACTTATTTGGAAGTAACAATTTGACACACACACAAACTCCTCCAGTGTTAATGAATCCGAGGCAGTCAAGGTGTTTAGTTAATGTATTCAGGATTCAGCAATGTCTCTAGTAATTCTAAAAAAACTAAATGGCATGTTCAGTCACATGAGGAGAGTGTTATTTACTCAAGATTACCTTGATTTCATGGCCATAGGATGAATGGGCGGAAAGCAATTTGTGCAAATTTTATCATCATAAATAACATAGGATTTGGATGACGGAATATTTATGATGTGGATTATCTGTATGTACTATACCTACTTGATAAAAACTGAACACACCACCTGTGAGTTAGGCAAGCACTGATAATGTACATGCCCAGTATTCCCACTTTTCCTTTGACATTCATGTTTCATGTGGTGTCATGTGGGGAGAATGGATTGGCTGATGAACAACAAAGTATAGGGGAAAATAAGAACATTGTTTAAACATGTTGCTGAGTTTTAAAACAGGGCAGATCCATTCAATAGTCTCCCTTCTATCCCTCTAACTCCTCCCACCCACCTGTCTGCTCCTTCCTTCTTCCCCAAGTTAATTTCACAGCTCTTAGCTGAGCTTTCTGTTTAGACCAGGTACACATCATACATTTAAGGGACACCCTGCTCTGGGACTGTAGTTTGTTAAGGGTTGTCACTGTAGCTCTGTGAGGGGTGGACTACAGTTTCCAGGATTCGGTGGGGGTGGGAATATACTTTAAATGTAAAGTGCATATGCAGCCTCTGTACCATTAAGCAGGGTTCATTTGTCCCAAGAAATAACTGAAAATCTTTATTAAAAGCTTGAGATGTAATCCATGCAACCAGGCATCCTGCTTTTCCGGGCACATGTGCGCTATATGTACAGTTCAATTTGTATAGGCCCTTGCTGACACTAACATGAACATATGCAAGTTGGGAGCAGGGATAATGTATTTGACCCTGTTTCTCTAAAGTGTATGGCATGTTGGAGGTAAGGGGTGCCAGAATATCTTTTGGTGCAAGGCCCTCATGATTTTTAATTGGTGCTGTTCCCAATAAAGCAGAACAGCTAGCAGGGCAAGACTGGTAAATGTTCCCAGCTAATTCTACAAATTGCAGTATTATTTCTCCATGGTCAAGCTCCCCACATAAGAGGAACTGAGTGATGAGTCAGACAGTGCTCATGTGCTTTTGGGTAGTGAATTCTTTTGTGAATTCTTAAGTTGATGAATGGGACAAGGACACAGCGGCTCCTTGCCACAGATCCTAGGTTTTTAATTTTATGTGGCATTTAGTGTGTGTGCGTGTATAATTATCGTAAACCACTTTGATATTTTAAAAATGAAATTGCAGCATACAACTAATTAAACAAACAAACAAACAAACAAAATAGAGGCCTGATGAAATTGGCAGGAGATGTTTCTCTTCCTGTCTTCAACCAGTCGTAACAACTGGGCTTCTTGGAGAGGAGGTTGAGCCTCCAGATTACTTCTCACCTCTCCTTCTTTCTACTGTGGTTCCTTAAAAGACATCATGACAGAGACCACAGAGCATTATTTTGAAATTTTAGTGGTTTCACATATGTTAGCTGGCATAAGGCATGATGGTAAATGAAAGCTTGCTTTGTAGAAATTGTTCAGGAACAGTTTATCCATGTGAAAGTATAACTCCAGCAAACCTGCCAAGGCCAGTTAGACCTTAGGTGATCTCCTGTGCAATTGTTGGCAGGCTATACAATGTTAGGCTGTTTGGGTCTACTGTAATTCTTGCATCCAATTTATTCAGGATTTCGGAAATCCTGTGAGCAATGTAGCTTTCTACTTGGGCCCAGTTTCTTTTCCCTTGCTATCAACAACCAAAGCTGGGTGCGTTCGTTATGCTCCATAATGTACTACCTTTTCACTTTATCAGAGCCTGGAGGAATGTGCTGCCGAGAAGACACGTTACTGTACTGTGTTTAAGACCTTATCTATTGATTTATATTTGGCTTGAATCTATTTGCCTTACTGAAATCATTAGGATACTAATTTTGTGCAGAAAAAGATTTAGCCAGGAGTATTCTTTTAGATCAGGGGTGGGAAACCTATGATTCTTCAGATGTTGTTGGACTCAAGTTCCCATCAGCCACTGCCATTATGGCAAATGGTCAGAGATTATGGGAGTTGTAGTCTTAACAGCATCTGGAGGGCCACAAATTCCCCATCCCTGGTTGACATGAATAAGGTATTAGTGAGGAGTGAGGGGTGAGGCAGCCTACATGTTACCACAAAGGCCTCTTCATTCTCAGTGAAGAACAGAAATTCCCAGCATCAGCCTCTGTGAAAGGCAAGCAAGAAGAGGCTTGGGGTTTGGCTAAATGAGGTGTAGTTACTCCAGTAGCATAGATTTTCCTTGCCTCTGCTTGCTACAGAATATGTTCCAAGAAGTACCCAACTTGTACATTCCCTCAGTTATCCCAGGCTCAGGTCCACACTGTAAAGCTTTGTGTCTCAGCACTCTTTCTTTTAACCCCAGAGTCCCGTCCCCCAACTAAAAATCCCCTGTTCAAACCACAACAAATGGCAATTTGGGTTCTCCACAGATTGCCATTTGCTCCAATTCAAGAGGTAAAGAGCAGGTTTTTGCAGGGAAAGCTCTAGAGTGAAAAACAGAGTGCTTGGAAATACAGGATGTGCTTTGGAGGAAAGGTAAGTGTGGATAAGCCCTAAGATTCTAATTCAGGTTTATCGCTATCCAAACAACACCTGCCTTATACATCTAGGATCAGATAGACTCAGGACTAGTCTTCACACACAACAGTTCTTGTAAGCGATGGATGGGTGAAAAGTTAGAGATCACCATACCTTTATAAGATGAAGAGATAAAATTTATTACTGCTCATTATTTAGTAACTGGGAGGGGAGAGCACCTACTTACAAATTAGGCCTACTTTTCAAATCTCCTCAGCCCCTGTTTCTTTAAACATGAACATGGCCTCAAGGTGAGGAAGCTTTCTCTCCTCCTAACCAAGAAGCTGTGTTCCCTCTCCTCCCCTATGAATCTGACTTGTGTCTCAGAAAAATGTCACTGTGTCCCTTGAGTACAGGAAGAGGGGGCATTGTTTGCTCTCCCTTAGGATAATCCTGTTGATGCTCATGGCTATCACAACATTGTTCTCAGCACTTGACTTTCCTCCATAGGAATAATCAGATACAACCCTTTATCTCTGTGCTAACATTAGATGTATGGTTTTATTTTCCAAAGAACTAACATCTCAAAAAAATAGCTCTTGGCCAAGAGGTGGCCTGCACATATAAGGAAAATGTATAGAGACCAGGGCTGGAATGCTTAGGTAATTGACTTGCTGGTTAGCTCAGCTGGTTAGAGCACAGTGCTGACAATGCCAAGGTCATGGGTTTGATCCCCATGTGGGTGCATATTCCTGCATTACAGGGTGTTGGACTAGATGATCCACAGGGTCCCTTCCAACACTATGTTTCTATGATTCTCCTGGGACAAAATGCAACTGTAGACATTGGTGCAGACCCACCATAGAAACAGGAAGAAAATGGGAATTAGGCCTACAATTGTAAACATACACACTGGATAGTAAGTCCCACTGGACAGAGTGTGACTTGCTTTTAAATTAAATTTTAAAATAAATCAAAATGATCAGCTGCTTATTGGTTAAAAAAATTTCTCGAACAAATATGCACAGGATTGTGCTGCACGTTCAAAAAAAGCACTGGTACAGACAAACTCTTAAATGCTGTGGTGATGAGGTTTAATTGATCTTAGCAATCTATGTGGTTATCCATACAAAAAAACATATTCTAATCGTTGATCTGTCAGCATAAGGTGACAAAAGTCCAATTTTTGTAAGATTAATCAACCTGTCACACCTACGAGTAACACCTGAATCAGCACACAGTGCAGTAATAAGGGATCACTTTTCCCTACCTTTTTTGCTTGACTCCACTGAACCGCCACTGCCCAGCTGTGTCAGGCATTTTGTTGAGAACTAAATTGGACCCTGCTGTCTTTAATAACATTTTAATGGCTCAAGCCGTGTATATCCGGCTCCTTGTACTGTTTTTAAAAGGTCCCCACCTAGCTTCGAATGAATGCTTCAACTTATAAAACAAAAGCTTGTGCGTGTGGGGTTGTGTTCAACTCTTTTTTAAAACGCCTAATGCAAAATTCACACTGGTTTCCCTAAAATAAAAATGAGCTTCTGGTGGCTTTTCTACACTTCAGACTTCTTTATACTCTGATTCTGGCAGTAATTATAAATAAAATGTAGTACTGTATATATATTTTTAAAAGAGCATCAACGTTCTGCCTATACTTTCCCATGTGAGGTTCAGTCTTAAAAATACCCAGAGATTCACAGGCCACCATCTCTCTTTTATCCCATGGGAACCATCATAGGAACATATGAAGCTGCCT